TGAACATAATACTAGCTAGCACGCCTCGTTGGGGCTCGTTTGTTACCGTACTTTGTTGACCTCGATTGGTTGCGGTTCAGTCAAACTCAAAAGGGTGGACACGAAATGGGAAAAGTGTTGTTGGTGGGTGGTCGAAGTAAACAGCCCTTGATTTGTTAGCTCTGGGTGGGGAGAAAATTCGACCAATCAGAAATGCAGTTGTGTTCTTGCATGAGTAGTGAACCCAGGTCCAATTTGAAAACCAAGTTGGGCCCACTTGGAGAATGACGAGGCAATGGGGTCGCACAAGAACCTGCGACCTATGACAGCTCGCAAACCCAGTCCTACAAATCTCCCAGGCAATCGTGTGCTCGCGCCTGCTCACTCTGAACAGCTTGCCTGCGTTGTGGAACTGCCCTGGTTCTGCCGAGTGAGGCTAACAACCCCTTAGAAAAAATCGAGGGTCCCTTGGTTTCAGGTTGGACCCGCCTTCACTATTTTAGCCCCTCGCTTTAATGTCTGACAAATGTCGCACCCGATGTGCGGCCCGCGGTGGCCCAATAAACTTATGTGACAGAAACGCGTAAAGAATCAATTTTGGAATTTGGTGTGCACGACGTCCAACTATTTTTAATTTGGAGGTATTCTACGTAGTTCTCTCGAACTGCGCCTTGAGCTTAGGGGAGAATATCGTACCAGCCACAATAATGACGAAATTGGGCTGGCACGAGGGGGAAAACATTCCGAGACAGGCGGGGGTTACTTCTGAAATAATTTTAAAAGTGGTGCAGAAGACTAGATATAGAATCTGCAACCACAAGTACTTGAAGTAGAAAGTAATACTGGAAGTACCTCTAGTAACAGCCAGTATTAACAAGTTGTAACACCAGAATAAGTGTTACAGCCTTGTGATACTTCAAGACTTGAGCAAGGATCCTTGCTAGAATGGTAGACTAGTAAGACAACAGAAGTCTTAGAACTTGTAAGTGTTGACCATAATTTACTCAAGAACAAGTTAATAACTGAAGTCATACAAGCTACTCTTATATCTGCTAGAAGTAACTGTTCAAACTATTTGCACTATGCGCTCTAATCGCTACTGAAAAGAGCGCGACTGTTCGCGTGACTGAATGTGTGACTGTAGGTGTGATAGTAATCTATAGATGTTGTTGAAGCGTTTGTTCGAAAGAAGTGGCGAGAGAATCAGTGGTGCTGATATAGAGTAAGTCGTCGACATACTGTAGGCGACGAGTAGGATGTAGTCAAGACCGACGGTAAGTAGGTACATTCCTTGGTCGTATGGAAGTTGACGAAACCCGGCAGTTAGTAACTAGCGGTGTAGATACTGCTGCCATAGTCGTGGAGCCTGTTTAATGCCGTAGAGAGACTTTCTGAGACGGCAGATGCTGGGAGGGTTATTTTCGTAAGAATGTGGGTGCTCAACCAGAATTAATGCGTCGACAGGTGCATATAGAAATGCATTGGCGACGTCGATTTGGCGAAGTCTGAAGTTCCGGTAGGCCGCGATACAAAGGAGGATGCAGACACTAGTGTGTGTGCCGACGGGAGCGAAAGTTAACTCGTAGTCGCGTCCAAAAGTTTGCTTGAAGCCGCGGACGACCCATGGCGCCTAGTTTTTTTCAAAGGAACCATCGGCGTTTGTCTTCACACGAAAAAACCCATTTTCCGGTAAGAACCTTACTCCCCTTTGTTTCCTTCAGCGGGATTAGATCCCAGGCACCTCTCTTTTCCAGAGCTGCTAACTCTCGGTCCATGGGTTCTCGCCATATTTCCTTGTGTTGACTTGTCAAAGCTTGGCGAACTGTTTTCGACTCCAAAATCTTACTGTTGTTTGACTGTACTGCGACAACGAGTCCCAATACCTATAATCCATTTTATGTAAAACGAGGACGATTAGAGTTCACACCGGCGAAGTTGTGTTCTGATCCCTGTTCCCCCCCAACTCCTTCAGGTGTTGCACAGACAGCTGCTTTGGAGACAACGGGCATTGGCTGCTGCTGGCGGTCACGTTCGTAATCAAGAATAACATCGCGGACATCTTCAGAGTCTTCTTCGCCGAGTGGAATAAACTCGGCAGTTCCAGCTGGTGTAGTTGGCACGGGGATGTCTGTGGCAGCTTCGGAAGACTCAGCAACGAATTCATCCTGTACATCTGCTTCAGCTTCGTCGGTAGCGAAAGCACGCGAGCCTTCAAAAAGCCTGGCATGATTGGCAGGTGCTGCCTGGTGAGCACGAAAAAACAGGTAAGGTGAGTCGTTCATAGAAAAGACAATCACGTGCTAGTACAATTTGACTCGTGCGAAGATCCATAATTTTCCACGCGTAAAACTGCTTCTCGATGCCACGATGAATTCCCCACTTAACCCGTTCCGAAAATTTCCCGAGTGCTGCAGTCGGAGGTTTGTATTGGACGATGCACCCAAAAACTCTTAAAAGTTTTGTATTGCCAACTGCTTTTGTCCACTGCAGGTGTGGCGAAGAAAATTGCGGAAGTGAAGTTGTCGACAGCAAGTTGTGCAGAAGAACTGCATTGTCCAAAGCGTAAGTAAAAAAATGCGGTGGTAGTGCTGCCTGAATCAACAAGACTCGCATATTTTTTTGCAACGTCCTGTTCATCTGCTCCGCTACCCCCATCTGTTGGTGTTGATGCGGCAGAGACCCTCGGCGCTTGATGCCTAGGGTTTGAAGATACTCAGTGAAAGTGGTGTTGGTATACTCCCCTACGCCGTCACTCTGAAATTCTTGAAGCTTTTCCTTCAATTCTCTCTCAGCCACCGCAAGCCATGCGACGAAGATAGAGTGAGCCATATGGCGAGCCGGGATGTTGACGGTCCAAACATATAGAGTAGAAGCCTCGATAAAGGAGATCATATAGAGCTCCCCCTTAGGTCATGCTTCAGGTAAGTTGAGGATGTCGCTGTAGACTTTCTGCATTTGTTAGTAGCGACTCGATCCTGGAAAATGACATGGAAAGGGTTCGTGAGGAAGATTAGCGGTTGTGCACGTTGTGCAGACGGCCGGTCGTGAAGACGGCTTCATCTCTATTCCATCTAGTAAGAGTAAGTTCTTGTCAGAACTGATGCCCGTATAGAATGATTAAGGATGCCCGAAGACGGATGACCTAACCGTTGATGCCATATATCCTCTGTTGCTTTGTGTCCTGTTGATCGCAGATAAAAATCGGAGTTAGTATAAAAAATGGAATGATGAAAGGAGAAAGCGCAGGTGATTCATAGAGTTGTCCCGGGACGAAGCGGGTTAGAGGTTACTTGGTGGTTTTAACTTCCACGTCGAGAACTTCTTCTGGTTTCAGACCTAATTCTCCCTCTTCGTTTTCTGTTTCTATTGTGTATGCTGCAGGTTGACCGATGAGAGCCCCTTTTTTTGCTTCACTGCTACTCTGCTACTCGGCTTCCTCTGCTTCATTGCTGCTGCTGCTGGGCCCCCAAGGTACTTCAGGTTTGTTGCTGATTTGTGTTAAAGTGTCATAGTACTTCCGCCATGCTTATGTATCTTCTTCAGTTGTGTTTATTGGCTAGGAATCAAGAGCCGTTATAACTGCAGCGGCTGTACGAGATCTTGTTGGAACTGCAGCTGCACGAAAGTCTATTTCAATCTTTTGATAATAAGTTTCTTTAGGATGCTGCCAAGGTCCAAGAGATAACACTCTGTCAAAATCTCCAGAAGTGCCTTCCGCTTCGAATTGAAGAATGGAGTTGCCATACTGAGTGGCAGCTCTCCTGATGTAAGTATTGGTATCGTTTTGTTAGAGTTCGTGGTCCATATTCTCACAATTACCTTGTACCCTGAACTTATGTCGCAGGAGTTGAGTCGTTAAAAGAAGATTAAAACCAAGTCCAGCAATGATGAGGACATTCGTAACATGCAAGGAAAAACCAGTATAAACAGAATCTAGCATGACGCTGCCGATGGATCTTGCCTTGATCGTTTGTCCATTTCTAATTGTCACAGGTACTGGACGTCGAAGAGGATGCTGATGAGTGATGAAAAGCGTCTCGGCATAGCACATGTGTTCAAAACAACTGTCGAGATACCAAGTGTTGGGTCCTGCAATAATCTAAATGAGATTAGCATAAACCTGGGGTAAGATCATGTTCTCAGGTTGTTCGATGGAACTTTGTTCCTCCTCATCGTCGAAATCTAAATCGGTTGCATGAACTGTAGTAACACAAATGAAGACTTGTTTTTCGGATGTGGCAGGAGTTGTTGTTGGTGGATTCTGCTTCACCGGTTGCTTGAACAGTTGCGACTGCTGCTGCGCTCCTCTTTTCTTATCAGCTTAAAGCTTGTTGCAATATTTGATGCTGTGTCCATCCTTTTTGCAGTAGTGACAGAAGAACCCGTTGCAATATTTGATGCTGCATTTTGCAGGCGTTGAAGAGAAACTTACATTAACTACTCCCTTTTTGTTACGTGTTGTTTGCAAATCAAGGTCGTGCTGCTCTGCTTGAAGAATCGAACAAATTTCGGCTTTAAAAAGATTTGGTTGAATGCGGAGAAGAGATCGACACTGCCGCCATTCTACTCCAAGATCGGCAAAAAGAACCGTTACAAACATGTTCTTTGGGAAGTATCCGCCGCATTTTTCAAATTGGTCGCGAAGTCTGCGAGCCCTGTTGATATAATCCGAAACGTTCTCGTTGCCCTGCATCTGTACAGTTGTCAGTTGTGAGAGAATTTTACTCACAGAAATGGTGTCCTGTCCCATATTCAACCCCTTCAAATGCTTCCATGCAGATTCGGCTGGAGTCAAGCTGGTGGGAAGAGTGCGTATACCGAGCTGCTCTTTTAGGGACAGATTGCGGATAAGACCTGTATAAGCGCTGAGTGAAGCATGAAGAAAATTTTGCTGCTCCATTAGCATTCCCGAAACAGGATACGAATAATCGCTGATGAAGAACGGCCATAATCCAGCGGATTTTGCGAGGAGCTCAAACTCGAAACTCCAAGAGTAGAAGTCAGCACCATTAAAAGGTATTGTTGTCTTGATCTGCGTATTGCTTAAAAGATTTGGAGCCTGAAAGACAGGTCCAGTAAAAGAAATTTGCTGCTGCAGAAACTGTTGTTGCTGTTGCTGTTGCTGTTGTTGCTGTGGATGTTGCTGTTGTTGGTGAAACTGTTATTGTGCTTGTTGCTGTTGCTGAAGAAATTGGAACTGTTGATGTTGAGCATGCGTAAATGCAAACAAAGAACTGGAGCTTGGAGCGGCTGCAGCTCTTGCATAACTGGAACCACGAATACTCATTCCACTGAAGGCCACTGTTACTGATGCTGCTGTTTGTTGCTGTGATGTTGCAGGTGCAGATGACGAAGTCCCCGGTGGATGCACAGTAGGCAAACCTTGCTGCTGTTGAGGCATCCCAATTGAAGAATATGCAGGTGGAAATTTTCCAACTGCAGAGTCACCTGTTTGGCCTGTTAAAACCAAAAGATTTGTAATACCCGTGGTGTTAGAAAAAGAGAATGAATGGACTAGTGTGAGAAACCTAGAACATGTACCTGTCGGGGTTGTACTCACTAGAAGAAAACACCTAGGCTAGCCTATAACTTCTACATACAACATATGTATAAGTTGACACACCTCCTTGGCTAGAGAAGGGGTGGTGCTAAGTAAGAAGCACACATCTCAGGGTGGCACTACTAGTCCAACCACTGAGGTAGGGGTCCTGAGATCAGTCAGCACGAGTACAAGCAAGACTAAAGCAAGCCAAGGCGGCACTACTAGTCCAGCCACTGGAGGTAAGGCCACAAGGCCAGTCAGACAGGTATATATAATAAAGAGTACAAAATCAGGGTCCTAACAGGTGAGTAGCTACAGGAACAAGACCAAGCTGTACACAGTGCCGCTGATGATCTTTAGGCGTAAGCCCTTTAGTAAAGAAATCAGCTGTGTTGGCACCTGAGGCTAAGTGAACTACGCGGTCCTTGCCACGCTGCTGTAGCTCGTGCAGGAGGAAGTACCGCAGCTGGATATGCTTCGCTCTGCCCTCAAGCCGAGGCTCTTGCCACTGGAGAATCATGGCCCTGTTGTCAGCGTACAGGACCGGGGCAGAGCTAGGCCACTCACCTCAGTCTGTGAGCAAGAAGGTTAGCCAACGAAGCTCTTGTGCCGCCATGGCACCGGCGTAGATCTCGGCCTCACAGCTGGACTGGGCAACAGACAAGGAGCGAGTGGATCTCCACGAGATAGCACCCGAATCAAGGCTAAAACAGTAGCCCTGCGACGACCTGAGTGTCTCAGAGTCATCTGCCCAAGAAGCGTCTGTGTGCCCAGTGAGGACCACCGGCCTGCGTCCTCCTAGCACTAACCCCATGCCTGATGTACTTGGTAGATATCGCAAAACCCTCTTAGCGGCCGACCAGTGCTGTGGTTGGTGTCTGCCAGTGGCCACAAAACGAGCCAGGATGCTGAGAGGGTATGTGAGATCTGGGCGAGTGCAAGTCATCAGGTACATGAGGCAACCCACCAGCTCTGCGTAGGGGCCGCTGGGCTCTACTGGCTCCTCAGGAACGGGAGCGGAGAGCCCATGGTCTACAGGTAGAGGTGTGGGCTGTGCGGAGGACAACTAATGACCGAACCTCTGAAGGACCTGACGCACCAAGTGTGACTATGTCAGAGTGATGGTACGTGCTGCTCTGTCCCTAGAGATCTGCAGGCCAAGATAACGACGCAGCTCTCCAAGGTCAGTGCAGGTGTGTCTCTTCAGCAGCTCGGCCTTCACGAAGGCCAGTGCGTCCCTGTCAGCAGTAGCGAAGACCAGGTCGTCTACGTAGACAAGGATGTAGAACGGAGTCTAGCTGGAATGCACAAACAGCAAGGGGTCAGCAGAGGACGGAAAGAACTGCAGGTCTGCTAGCGTGGCACGCAGCGTGTCGTGCCACTCGTGGGGAGCCTAGCGCAGGCCGTAGATTGGGCGCCTGAGAAGCCACTGGGTCCCAAGGGGGAAGGTACCAGTGAAGCCCTGTGGTCGGCGCAGGTAGACCTGCTCGTGTAGGCTGCCCTGAAGAAAGGCAGTAGAGAAGTCGAGGGAGTGAAGCTCGTAGTCGCGCTGTGCTCCTACGTGTAGCAGCGCCCGACGAGTGGTCATCTTCGGGGTTGGGGCGAAGGTCTGGAAGAAGTCAACCCCCTCGCGCTGGCTGAGGCCTCTGGCCACGTAGCGCGCCTTGAAGACAGGCGGCTCTCCAGGGGGGCGCTTCACTTTGAAGAGCCACCGACCATCGACTACGTTCAACCCAGGCGGGGGAACTGCGTCGACATAAGTGCCGGTGGACCTCCAAGATGCCATCTCCTGCTCCATGGCAGCTATCCACTGAGAGGCCCAAGGTCCCAAGGTGGCCTCAGCGTAGGTGCGAGGGGTCGGGATGTCGAAGGCGTCTAGGTCACCCTCTGGGACTAGGAGCATGGAGCAGAGATGGGGAGCAGCCTCGAAAAGGAAAGCAAGCTCGTAGTCCCAGTCCTCTAGAACGTCACTGCCAAGGGCAGGTGCACCCCCGACGGATGCAAGACGGGCAGGGTCAGAGACCAGAGCGGTAGCGTAGTCAAGGTGGCGGGTAGAGGCGAAGTCAGCGACAGCCGCGACAAGCGCGTCAAGGCGCGAGACAGGAACAGACGGGTCTGTAACAAGAGAGGCAAGAACCCGAGGGACAAACGGACGAGCGGCACGGAGGTAGTTAGACAGCGGGGGAGGTGCAACAATAAGCGAAGAGGGAGGAGGCGACAGGAGGAGGGGAGGACGAGACGAGTGGGAACGGAGCAACATTGGGTGGGAGCGCAGAACAGGAGAGACGGGACGAGCACGAGAGGGACGGCGAGACCACACGTGGGATTGAGGTGTAGGGTCAGGATACAGCGGAGGGGACACAAAAGGAGAACGAGGAGGAAGACGGGCCGGAGACGAGTTCAGCGGTGGGAATACAGGGCCGGAGACAGGAAGGTGAGAAGGTGGTGGGGGAGACACCGGCGAGCAGTCTGGAGAGGGAAGGCTGAGCAGGCGAAGAGTGGAGACCGGCTGCGGCGGCTGCTGCGGCGGCTGGTGCTCGACCCGCGGACTGGCAGGGGCACGACGGCCGCTGGGAGAACACTCAACAGCAGCACCCCCTGAACCAACACCCCCAGAGCGAGAACCCCCTCCAGCACCGACGGCCCCCCCAGGCCCGCCGGGACACACCACGCCAGGGGCCGCAGGACGAACACCCTCCTCAACGCCAGCACCCCGAGAGGCCAAAAGCGGCAGCGGCGGCGACGGCGGCGGCGGCGGCTGCGACAGCGAAGGCTTAGACACCGAGAAAGGGGGACGCGGCAAGGACGGGCCGGGGGGACCGCCAGAGTCAGCAGATTCCTCAACGGGGACAACCGATGCGAGGGGAGTGACATGGGAGACACAAGAAGGGGCAGGACGAGGTGGGAGGTGAGTAGGGGCTACCGGGAGAGAGGGAGCCAGGAACAAGGGGGGGGGAACCGGGAGACCTCGGTGAGGGAAGCGACGGTAGAAGGAGACAGACTCGTCAAAGGTGACGTCACGAGAGTGAAGGAAGCGGTGAGACTGCGGGTGGTAGAACAGCGAGTCAGACGAGTCCAGGGGGAAACCGAGGAAGACACAAGGGAAAGTGCGGGCAGTGAGCTTGTCCGTGCCAGAGGCACGAACATGAGCAAGGCAGCCCCAGACGTGGAACGCAGACGCGTCACCGGGGGACCCGGTCCAAAGGAGGGTCGGCGAAACCTGCGGCCCATGGGAGCGTGGCCACAAGTTAAGCTGGTGAGCAGCGTAGCGGACAGCGAACGACCACAGAAAATGGGGGGCATCGGCATGAATCATGGAGGTACGAGCAACCTCCATGACCAAGCCGATGCAACGATCAGCAACCCCATTCTACTGTGGCGAGTCCGGCAAGGTGTACGACTGGGTGATGCCCTCCGCACGACAAAACTGTCCAAGCCGGCCAGAGGCAAACTCGCCGACACAGTCAGAGTGGAGACACAACACGGGGAGACCGCGGTGAAGACGCGCAGCCACAACCCACGGGAGAAGAACGTCGGGCATTTCGGCCTTCCGCTCCAGGGGAAACACCGTGGTGTAGCGCGTATAGTCGTCGACGAGCACAAGAAACTAGCGCTTACCGCGCGGTCCGGGGACGGGGGCTAGGCCCCAAACGTCCAGGTGCATGGTCTAAATGGGGCAAGTAGCAGGGCGAAGCGAGGAGGAGTAAGGGGCACGGCGGAGCCGGCCCTCGACGCAAGGCGTGCACGGTGGCGCAGTCGAGGGGGGAAGTGCGGGGAGCGACTCAGGGAGTTCAAGACAAGACTGTGCTGAGACATGTAACGCAGGCGCGGGAGAGCAGGGTGACCTAAGCGGTGGTGTCACAGAAGGGACGGGTGTATGAGTGACCGACACGAGCAAGCTGCCGCGACCTGGGAGCACGCACCAATCGGGGGGGAAGCGGTGTCATGGGTAAACAGACCGGATACCGGGTCCCGGGGGAACGTCGCAAGGGGGGATATAGTGACACAGGGCACATCGACACAGCTCCACACGACACTGCGGCAGAAGGACACAGCATCACAGCTCCAGAGGGACGTCTGCAGGACGCTCTAGCGCTGGCAAGCAGAAGACACGAGGCCGGAGACCCGAGGAACCGTGCCGAGCAGAAGACACGGAGCCGTAGGAGCCGGACAGGCACAGGGAGCTGCGGGCCGCAGGAGCCGGGCAGGCATATCGGGGCCGGGCAGGCGCTGGGTGGGGCCGGGTGGGCGGTGTGGGACGGGCGGGCGCAGCAGGCCGGGCGGGCGCTAGCAGGGGCTGGGCGGGCGCTGTGGAGGGGCCAGGCGGGCGGTAGAGGGGGCAGGGCGGGCGCTAAGAGGGGCCGGCTAGGAGCGGGCGCAAACGGCCAGGGGGCCGGCTAGGAGCGGGCGCGACGGCCAGGGGGGCGGCTAGGAGCGGGCGCGAATGGCCAGAGGGCCGGCTAGGGGTGGACGCAACGGCCAAGGGGCCAGCTAGGGGCGGGCGCGACGGCCAGGAGGCCAGCTAGGGGCGGGCGCAACGGCCAGGGGGCCGGCTAGGGGCGGGCGAGACGGCCAGGAGGCCGGCTAGGGGCGGGCGCGACGGCCAGGGGGGCGGCTAGGGGCGGACGCGACGGCCAGGGGGCCGGCTAGGGGCGGGCGCGAGGGGCCAGCTAAGGGTGGGCGCGACGGCCAGGGGGCCGGCTAGGGGTGGACCCGACGGCCAGGGGGCCAGCTAGGGGTAGGCGCGACGGCCAGGGGGCCGGCTAGGGGCTGACGCGACGGCCAGGGGGCCGGCTAAGGGCGGACGCGACGGCCAGGGGGCCGGCTAGGGGCGGACGCGACGGCCAGGGGGCCGGCTAGGGGCGGACGCGACGGCTAGGGGGGCGGCTAGGGGCGGACGCGACGGCCAGGGGGCCGGCTAGGGGCGGACGCGACGGCCAGGGGGCCGGCTAGGGGCGGACGCGACGGCCAGGGGGCCAGCTAAGGGCGGGTCATGAGGGCGGCTAGGGCCTAGGGCGGAAGCGTGGGCGGGCGAGAGGAACCGAACCTACTCATGATACCATGTTAGAAAGAGAGAATGAATGGACTAGAGTGAGAAACCTAGAACATGTACTTGTTGGGGTTGTACTCACTAGAAGCACACACCTAGGCTAGCCTATAACTTCTACATACAGCATATGTATAAGTTGACACATGGGTCTAGTTGTTGAAGAACCAGAAGTTGGAGCTGGTGATGGTCCAGTCATTTGTAGAATTGACAATAGTCTTAATTCCAAACAGCTCTCATACCATGAGAGAATTTGAAAAGTGGTTCAAGAGATTAAGTATAGAATTTGCAGCTACAAGTAATTGAAATAAAAAGTAATACTGGAAGTACTTGTAATAACAACCAGTATTAAGATGTTGTAATACCAGAATCAGTGTTACAGCCTTGTGATACTTCAAGACTTGAGCAAGGATCTTTTTGCTGGAATGGTAGACTAGTAAGATAACAGAAGTCTTAGAACTTGTAAATGTTGACAATAATTTACTCAAGAACAAGTTAATAATTGAAGTCATACGAGGTACTCTTAAATCTGCTAGAAGTACATGTTTGGTAATATACCTGTTCAAACTATTTGCACTATTCGCTCTAATCGCTACTTAAAAGAGCACGACTGTTTGCGTGACTGAAATGACATTCTGACGTAACCATCCAAACGAGCGCTATCTGCAGACTTCATTCTACGGATGCTAATTACAGTGTAACTCGACAATATCTGTCGGAACTACTTACAGAAATGCTTAAGTACGATTTTATCACAACAACTTCTACTGACTATTCGTGAAACTTTTTTCCCGCATTTTCTGACTAGCGGTGGAACCCGACTGATCAAAGATGTTGCGAACTCGCTAATTCTGATTGTTTATATAGTGTCACTGACCGTACATGTTATCGAGGCCCCTAATACAGAGCGCCGATATACTTTCCCTTTTGGGTCCACCAATCTGGCTTCAGTTTACGAGAACCGCATTCTGGCGAAATGTTTTCCAGAGCTCGCAGAGCCCATCCCAAGCTTCCAAACGCACTGCGTTTGGACAATTTGGGTTATGGTCTTTAATCGAGTTCAAAACGACATAATGAACATGGTATATCGTAACATCACATAGGTATTGAGTTATAGACGCCATTTCCCTCAACGTTTGTGCAAAACATAACCCAATAAATGGCATAATTAGAACAGCATAAGATTGAAATTCTTCGCACGTCTTTTTCTCGCTATGTAGGATACACATCCTATTCAATTAGTTCTATGCACATTTTCGTTATTAGCATTTGTGGTGGTATACAATACAGACTACTCCCAAACATCACTCTACAATACCTCTCCCATTGACGAGTATGCCTAGAAGCTTGCACACTTGAGCAAGACTGTAAAAGCTGTAACCTTAGATTCGGATTGACCCTGCCTCTAAGGGCCCGGTACACGAACCCGTTTTTGGGGTTTGCGGCCAAAAGGCTGTCCCCCCACGGCTGGGCAGCCAGGGCCGGCCCTGAACTGGAGGCTTGGGGGTTTCCCGCAATCCTCATGTACCAGAAGCAGGCAACCCTCACCCTAGAGGCAAATTTGCCCCGCGGTTGCAAGCGGTTGGAGCTACCAAAATTTTCACATTGCAACCCCGCGGATGTGGGTGCCGCTGTCTGTGGTACATAGGAATCCTGTATCGTGAAGTTTGCCTCCGCGAACCTTGCCTCGAACCCGACCTTGTGGGCCATGTACCTCGCCCTAAGAGGCATGGCGATTCGGCTGGTGGCACGGGTCACTTGAATTAGCAGCTATGTAGAGGTCGTCGGTGTGCTGAGCTGACCCCTAGCCATCCAGAGGCACCAGCAGAGCGAAATCCTCGAGAGGTCGTTCTTCACCGCAGCGCACACCAGACATGCACGTCACCCCAACAGACACCTTGAGGTTGGGTTGGGTGACAGCCAGCATTTCCAGGAGAACTTCCCTCATCCCACCCTCCGCCATCTTGCCACGGGTCACCGCCACCTTCACTATGTCCAGTGTTCTCGCTCGCTCAGCTCAAAGTGTGACTGCACATTGTGCTGCTTCAAGGTGCTGCACGGCAGCTCACATTGCTCAATATATCTGTACCTCTTATCCGATAAGACCACAGGAAGGCGGGTTAGTAGTGTTCAGACTGCGAGGATGGGTTCACCCACAGCCAACTATCCAGCTGTTCCGAAGTGAGTATCAGCGGTTCGTTTTTCGAGCGTAGCGTCACACAGCTCAGTGTCGGTTCCGCTGTCGGACAGACAGCGGAACTACGCTCGAAACAGGAGTGTCCTAAACTACGCATTTCTTGGTGCTCCGCAGGTCTGACGTGCCACTGCGCAGGGTGAAGTCGCTCACTCGAGACTCTTCCCCCACGTCCTCACGCGTGCTGGGATGTGGTCTCATGGCGTGCGTCCTGCTTCTACCTTTGTTCCTCTGGGCTACTTCTTCGAAATCCCCGTCAGCAAGTCAAGGTTAGCACGCCCGGCGTCCTTTGGGCCAAGTTCCCGCATCCTCTTGCGTCCCTAGTTGTCCCCATCCTGCTCACGCTGACTCGACATTTTCCGTGACTCCGCCCAGATTCCATGATGACCACCGTCGTGACGTATTCGAGTGGTTCAGAGGTTAGTCTTGCCTCGGATTGTGATTTGTCATCAACACCGTCATGCACACCGCCGTCCGAATCGCGATTACTCACACTAGCGGAGTTTCCCTCCGATCCAGGCTGCCCGTCATGGAGCGCGAATGTCAGCAGAGCAACCGCTTCTGCGCGCACACGTTCCTCAGATGGAGCGGGTGGCCAGCCTCACAGAGTCCCAGGGAGGCTTTCCCAATCAGGCGGAGGTATCTGAGGCGGAGCAGGCGGTCGTGCAGGAAGCGGGCGACACGGACGGCGTCACAGGCGACGAGGGCAGCTCCGCCACGGATGGCGGCGGCGAACTGCTGATTCGAGACGCATCGTCGCCGTCGCGCAAGGCGGACGGAGGGGAGGCGGCGATGAAGGGGGAGCGTGAGAACCCCTCGCTGTCGTCGCGTCAGAGCGGGTCAGACGGCGAGGCAGAAGGGGGTGCGGAGAGGACGCGGCAAGGCAGGGGCGAGCCCGAACTGGACGATCGCGAGCGGCACGCAGCGCCGTCGGGCGGCGGGATGGCGTCCAAGGCCGGTGGCGTGGCGGTATTGGCGGCGTCGGACCAGGTGGCGGCGGCGAAGCGCGAGTCGTACATGGGCATGATGGCGGACCTCGTCGCGCAGGTCGCCGCTGTGCTGCCCGACGCCGAGAAGCGCGGCAACGCGCAACTCGTCAAGCACGTGCGCGCTGCACTAGAGCGCGCGGAGTCGCTGGTGGAGGCGTGGAAGGGCGCGCGGGTGTGGGGCGGCGAGGAGAAGGCGATCGGCGTGATCAAGGTGCTGGAGTCGCTGAGGGCGCGCGCGCAGGAGTGGCGCAGCACGCTGGCGCTGATAGAGCGGCTGCGAGGCGAGGTGGAGAAGGCGAAGGCGAAGCTGAAAGCCGTGAGCAAGGAGCGCAACAAGCTCGACCTCGCCGCCGCCAAGGCGCTGCCCAAAGCGCTGCACTGCCTCAACCTCCGACTTGCTGTGGTGAGCCCCGCCCCATACCCGTCCTCCCGCCACACCGCACCTTGGGACCAAACTTATCCCAAGCTGCTGTTTCCCCGTGACTCGCCTAACTGCCCTTAACCCGTTTGCGCCCTAATGATCCGTGTCTTTGAGCTGTGGTGCCCTCCATGGCAGGCGTATGGTAGCAGTGAGGAGTTCAAGGCGATAACGAGGGCGCGAGAGAGCAAGCAGGCGAGGAGGTTCGAGGACCCGTCGCTGTACCACTACGCACTCTTCTCAGACAACGTGCTGGCCGTGTCCGTCGTTGTCAACTCCACGCTGCAAAACGCCCAGCACCCAGAGAAGTAAGCTGCGAAGCACGCTTGCTTCTTCCTCCCAATGCCTCTCCTGTAGCAATGGCATGCTGCTGTGGGGCCTCAACAGTGATGCACTATACAATTTGAGATGTCCGATATGCATGCGTTCTGCACATATCTGTTGTGGTGGCAGGCACGTGTTCCATGTGGTGACGGACGAGATGAACCTGCCGGCCATGCGTGCATGGTTCGCCCTGCACCCGCCGGGCGAGATGGCTGTGGAGATCAAGGCGGTGGAGCACTTCCCCTTCCTCAACGCGTCCTACTGCCCCGTGCTGCAGCAGCTGCAGGCCACCAGCCTCAAGGCCTTCTACTTCTCACAACAGGCTGCTGAAGGTCAGTCAGCGCCATGCGCACGCTAGCATGCAGAGACGAGTAGCGCACCTGCTGCAGCCATGTATGATGCTGTTGTGGTTGGATTGTATGGAAGCACATGGAGCTACATGCACCGTGCATGATGAAAGCACTGCTCCAATACCTGGACTCTGCCCCTCTGCAGACAAGAAGCGCGCGTCTAGAGGGGCGTCCGCGGAGGCGACAGCGGGCCCAACGCAGCTCAAGTTTAAGAACCCCAAGTACCTCTCCATGCTCAACCACCTGCGCTTCTACCTGCCCGAGGTGCGTCCGTCCCTCACCCTGCCTTCCCCCACATGTGGCGATGACGCCTCCACATGCATTACGAAACCCCTGTGTGTCCCCCCTGTGGCCTGTCCGTGGCGGCGGCAGATGTACCCATTGCTGCGCCGAGTGGTGTTCCTTGACGACGACGTGGTGGTGCAGAGGGACCTGGCGCCGCTCTTCGCCCTGCCCCTGCACGGCAACGTCAACGGCGCTGTGTTCACGTGCCGCGATGGGGACGACTTCCACCGCCTGCACAAATACCTCAACTTCCACCACCCCTACATCGCCGCGCACTTTGACCCCAACGCTTGTGGCTGGGCGTACGGCATGAATGTGTTCGACCTGCACGCGTGGCGCCAGCACAACCTCACTGCGGTCTACCACAGATTCCAGACCATGGTGTGTTCGGGGTCTCCATGCTGCTACGCGGGCTGAGTGGAAGTGCAGGCGGGGTGAATGTACCCTTAGATCAGGCTCTTTGTATGATTGTTGGCGGCTGCCCCAATCCCGCCTGTCCCGTCCGACCCCTCTTCTTTCCTATGCCCCCCATGCATTTCGTTCCCCCATTGCCACCATGGCTGTGAGCGGCAGAATGCGGGGCGGGCGCTGTGGCAGCTGGGATCGCTGCCCCCAGGGCTCATGACATTCTACAACCGCACACAAGCGCTGGACGTGCACTGGCATGTGCTGGGACTGGGGTACAACAAGGAGGTCGCCCTGGAGGACGTGCAGGGTGCTGCCGTTGTGCACTACAATGGCAACTGGGTAAGACGGGCTGCTCACGCTCATGCTCTCGCGGATTCAACTGTATTGAGCATACTTCAGAGTTTGTACCCATCGCGGAACTTTTATCTCCTCACATGGGTCCCTTGGGCATATTTCCTCTCCCTTCCTGTCTGATTCGCCTGGTGCTGTGTAGAAACCATGGCTGGATACTGCAATGAAGCAATTCAGACCATTCTGGCTGGCATATGTGACTGCAAACGACGGCATTATACAAAGGTGCAATGTAGATCTGAAGAGCTGAGGTAATTGAACACCGGACGCGTGAAACAGGATACCTTATAAGGTGTCCTAGGACTGGTGGTGATGTCAAGCCTAGGAGCCAAGTGCCACTTGTTTCTGTCGAGGGGAGAAGCTTGTACATACTGTCGCAATTACAGTACTCCAGGGCTTCCCTCCAGCCACTGCCAGTAAATGTGATTTTAGTGCTTGTCATCCCCTTTTCCTTTGATGCGCTGGTCCCGATATGAGGTACTCTGTAGCCCAAGAACAAGTTTGTATGGAAGGTAGTGAAGAAAACTTGCACACACTGTGCTGCAAAGACAAACATCATTCATACCGGTTCTGCACGTTGGTGGCTACACCAGTGCACACCCATTGACATCATAAGCTACCCCACCCCATGCACCTCCCGGCCTGCAGCACCCGCCATCTTGCCGTGCTGTCCTACGATGCAGTCCGCTCTCCTCTGCCTGCCTTCTTGGCCTCCTCCGCTGCAGCCTTCTCCGCCTCGATGCCGGCCACAATGGTCTCCACTTCGCTCTCCGCCATGATGCGCAGCCCCTTGTCGCGCGTCATCACCGCCACCTCGATGTTCTTGCCGCCACTCTCCACCACCTGCATGCGCACACCACACCGCCAGTCATGCGTGTCGCCACACAACCACCAGGTGAAAAAGGAACCGACAAGTAGCGACCTCACGTGACTTTGCTGGAAAGACATTGGAAGGTCAGAACTGTGAAGCGGGTGAGGAGGCACAAGTGATTCCAACCGTGGCCTTGAATGGCTTAGCATAGCGCGGCGTGGCATGTTATGGTGGGGCGAGGGGCTGACCTCGAGCAAGGCCTTTACGGCGAGTTTGACGGTGTTGTCGCCATCGGACTCGACGTAGTTCTTCTCCAGGTACTCCCTCACTGTCTTGCTGTTGCGCCCCGTGGCGTTCGCCTTCCACTCTGTGAACGTGCCCGCTGGCTCCGTCTGGAACAGCGAGGGGCGGCCTGTGTGCGGGTCAAACCCGATGATCAGCGTCGAGATGCCGAAGGGACGCACTCCTCCACTCTGCATGCAGCAGCGGGCCAGGGGGGAGAGCACGGGAGGTCAGGCAGAACACACACAGGCATAGGGCAAGGAGCCATGAGGTGAACCTGCCATACACGCACTCGTGCATATGGGCATGGAGAGAGAGAGATCCGGCACATGCGCCAATGCACGGCCAGAAGCACAAACGAGGCAGTATGTCCCCCCCGCGCGCACCTGCGTGTAACGCTGCTGCACGCCGGCGATGTGGCGCGCGATGTACTCCACAGTGACAGGGTCCTCCACCGTGAGACGGTGGCTCTGGCACTCCACACGCGCGCGGTTCACCAGCACGCGTGCATCCGCCGTCAGCCCCGCGAACGCCAGAGCCACGTGCGAATCCAGGCGGTGGATCTTGCGCACCGTGCTGGGGGGGGAGGAGGAGGGGGGGAGGTGACGAGACGGGATGAGAGGGGCGAGGAGAGGGAAGGAAGGAAGGAAGGAGCCAACACGAGGCGACACGGACCAGGGAACGATGGCGAATGGTGGGTGGAGGAAAAAGAGGACGGCGAAGCGAGTTGCGCGAGTAGAAAAGCATGTGGCATCCCCAGCCAACCACAGCAGCTCGCTGCCTCACCAGCCGGAATAATTCAGTCCTTGCCTCACGTCCACAACGCGCCCATCTCACCGTGCCCCATCTCACCGTGCCCCATCTCACCGTGCCCCATCTCACCGTGCCCCATCTCACTGTGCTCCATCTCGCCGCCCCCCATCTCACCGCGCGTCCTGCAGCTTGGCCGTGGACTTCTTCTCGACGCCCAGCACGAGCGTGTCCGTGCCGCGCACGCCGACGGCCGTGGTGCCCTTGGACACGGCCTCCGTGGCGTACTCCACCTGGAACAGGTGCCCGTCCGGGGAAAACACCGTGATCGCGCGGTCGTAGCGCGCCATGCCCGGCGCCCGTCAACCTGCGCGCACGTGCAAGAGCGGCGGAGCTGAGGCCAGAGGTCGCTGCGCCGCCACAGAGTGGGGAAGGAAGAAGGCGACGTGACACGGCGAAGGGGGGCGAAAGGGGGTGACAGAGGGTGCGGAAGAGGGAGGAATCTATATGAAAGATGCGACGGATGCAGGGAGATGAACAGGCGACATCACGCACGGACAAGCACACGCGCTCCCCAGATGCCGGTCTGTCTAAGCGGCTATGGACGTATCATAATTCCCGTCACTGACTGAGCGCCGTCATCCATTCGTGACCTATGAGTCGCAGAGGGCCATGCAAATGAGATTAAGATTGGCATGGAATCGACGAATCCAGATGGAATCATGGCGCCAGAAGAAATAGCGCACGAATCGGCATGCGAGAGAAAAAATCATACGAGGGGGAGGAGCACGTGACAGGAGGCTGAAGCGCAAGGACCAGGCCGTAGGAAAGATCAGGACCTGAGATTCGGTGAGGCGGGCTGCCAACTGAACGAGGCCGGGGAACCGAGGACGTAGAACGAATCACGGTTAATTGCTATGCGAATCTCAGTCCTCTATGAGGTAAGTGAAACCGAAAGAGGCTTCAATGACAGGGCATAAACAACAGAAGGGCCTGTGAATCGCGAGTCTAGGATCGAGGAGATCGGAGATAGAGGAAATGAGGCGAGCAGAAAGCTAAAGCAGCAGGCCCAAGCAGGAGGGAATGACAAAAAAATTTGCTTTCTTAGTGTGTCAAGCCGAAACAATAAAACTCTAAAAGTTTCTTAAAAGAAATATTGAATAAATTGCTCTAACAACAGCCTATATTTTCATGTATTGATTAAGAAACCATGTCCTAGGACTTAATACACCTTTATTTTATCGGAAAGTTTCCACCAAGGTGTTCACAATCTACATAGAACTCTATTACTCATCATGCTTCAGATAGAAAGCGCTGAAATAAATCGCCTGATGTCGTAGTAGACTAAGTATAAAACTATAAATGCGAGCTCTTGGCAAATCCTCAAGTGTTGGTCCAGGATCTTTGCTGGAATGGTAGACTAGTAAGACATCGGAAGTCTTGTGTTGGGCTGAGAAAAGCCCTTAGGATCTTTTGCAGAGACTAAGTCCCAGCTGTAGAGACTTGAGACTTGGAGTAGTGCAGCGGAAGTTGAGGCAGTTGAACCCTTGTACTAGTATGTGAGAACAAGTGATTGATTAAAGAAACAAGCATACAGCAATATATAGTAGATAAGAAAGCAGTTGTAGAATACAGTTACAGGAACGGTTTATCGAGTCGCACAGCGACTCGATTGCCGCTTCGGTTACCATCCGTGATGTTGTAACGGTCAGTCGCAACCTCCAGTTGCGACCTTTCGAGTCCTTTCGCATTCTTTGTCCGCCCCCTCGTGTAACCTCCGTTGACTCGCGTGCTCCCCTGTAGTCTTCCTCGAGTACAGTGTTACACTTCAGAAACGCTTAAGTCCTTGAGATATTTCCAACACTCCCCTTCGTTTCTGGAGTGCTGGAGTGTTCAGATCTGGTGGCGTTTGTTTGCCCGGTTAGGAGCATGCAGTAGTCGAATTTTGCTTTCGCCAATTTCTTCGTCAGATAATCTGCGGCCATTTCTGTCGTCGGGCAGTAACTGAGTTGAAGTCTCCCCTTCGCGATTTCATCCTTGACGAAGAAGTACCGCAGGGCGATGTGCTTGGTTCGATTGGCGAAGCCGTCCTTGTTCGCGATTTTGATCGCAGATTGGTTGTCGCAGAGGAGTGAGAAGGCGGGCAGGGTCGCGATCTTCGCTTCTTCGAGTAACTCTCGTAGGTAGAGTCCTTCCTTGGTCGCAGTACAAAGGGCGATATACTCTGCTTCAGCCGAGGATAGTGCGATTAACTCCTGCTTGCTCGACTGCCAGGAGATAGTTCCGATAGGTTCTAGTCGGTAGATGTAGCCCGTCCTAGACCGTCGATTTTCGCTGTCTCCCGCGTGGTCGGCGTCGACGTATCCGAGTAGTCGTACGGACGGTGTTGTTGCCTTGCTGTAGGTAAGCCCGATCGTCGGCGTGGAGACGAAGTAGAGTAGCGCTCGATTGAGTTCTTCGAGATCTTCCTGTTGCGGATGCTTCAGATGTGTCGCCAGCTGACTCGCACTATAGGATAGGTCGGGTCGGCAGGTTACTGCTGCGAATAGTAGGCAGCCGAGCTTCTGTTGATACTCCTGGATTTGTTTCGCGGGGAGTTTTGTAGAGGCGCTGCCGTTGTTCCCGTAGCGGTAGGGAGTTGGGACCGCAGTCGGTGTTAGAGCGAATGCGGCAGCTGTAGGAAGCCGATTTTTACGAGACGGCTGTGAAGATGCTGCTGCCAGAGCCGCGGGGCTTGCTTGATCCCGTATAGGGATTTTGTCAGTCGGCATATTTTCGTGGGGTCGTCGATGAATCCGTGGGGTTGTTCGACGAAGATCTCAGCGTCCACAGGTGCGTATAGGAACGCATTCGCGACATCGATTTGGCGTAGTGGTAGTGTTTTTGTGGCCGCGACGGCGAGTAGGATGCGTAATGAGGTGTGACGGGAGACTGGGGCGAAGGTTTCTGTGTAGTCGGTTCCGTATCGTTGATCGAAGCCTCGTACGACCCATCGAGCTTTGAATCGTTCGATGGAGCCGTCTGAGTTGGTCTTGATGCGGTACACCCATTTCCCCGAGAGAACGTTCTTCCCGTTGATGCTCGTTGCAGGTACCAGTTTCCATGTTTCTCGGTCTTGCAGAGCTTTTAACTCCTTTTCCATCGCTTCTTTCCATTTTGCCTTATGTTCCCCCCCCAGAGCCTGCGACAAGGTTGAAGGGTCACGCGTAGAAGGCGGCGGCGGATGCTGGACGGAGACCCAGAGGCCTAGAATCTGGAGTCCCGTGGGTGTGTGTCGAGGGGAATTGTCATTCCCCGAATAAGCTGCTTCGTCACCGTCTTCGGGGTCAGGTAAGAAATTGGGGCCGATGCGTTCCGAAATATTCGTGTCGACGGGGTGCGGTGTAGCGTAACCTTGGTCGGCGAAGTGGTAAAAGGTGTCGAGGTTGTTGCTATCGAGGGGATTATCTTCATCGAGTGGAACAGGTATGGAACAGAATGGGAGTGGCCCGGCAGCTTCCGAGGCTCCAGGTACGTCTTCTTCTGCTGCGTCAGCCTCGGCAGCATGGTCAGCGAAGGAGCGAAGGCCCGCGAAGCCGTCGGTGGGGTCGTCTGAGTTGGCAATGTTGTCCAGGTAATGCTGCAGCGTCAGTCGCTCGTAGAAGATAACATCACGTGATGCCACCGTATTTTTGTCTTGTATGTCGAGGATCTTCCACGCGTGAAAATGTTTGGCGATGCCGAGGTGTAGTCCCCACCGAGCTCGTTGAGTGAAGCGTCCTGCTCGAGCTGTGTGGGGTCTGTATTGTACCATGCAGCCGAAAACTCGAAGTAATTTTGTGCTGCCCCTTTTTCCCGTCCACAGCAGGTGTGGTGATGCGTTGTTGGGGAGCGATGACGAGGACAACAGGTTGTGCAGGTGGACTGCATGTGTCATCGCGTCTGGCCACAGTGCGTTGGGCAGCCTCATCCCCAGAAGCAGTTTTCGCATCGTCGTCTGCAAGGTCCGGTTCATGCGTTCTGCTACCCCCTGCTGCTGGTGAGCATAGGGCAGAGACACCAGGCGTCGGATTCCCCTTTCCGCGAGATAGGTCCTGAAGCGTTGTGACTGGTATTCCAGTGCACCGTCTGACTGGAAACTCTTGAGTTTGGTTCCTGACTCTCGTTCGGCGATTGGAAGCCATGTGGTGAATGCCTCGAAGGCTTGATCGCGCGTTTTGAGATTGAAGTGCCAGACGTATCTGGTTGCGGCGTCGATGAACGTGATGACGTAGTTGAAGTCGGCTTCGGTGTCGTCTCGAGGCATGTTTAGAATATCGCTGTAGACCTTTTCCATCGGAGCGTAAGTGGGTGCGCTTGGATTGTGATGGGCTGGGAAAGGTTGATGAGGAAGATCTGCTTCGGGGCATGTGAAACACCGTGCGCGTGGTCGTCGGAGTTCCTGGCCGCTCGTCGTCAGAAGGGCGTTGCGTTCTAACACTTCTGCTTGGATTGTTTGAAGTATCGTGCTGTTTGCAGGATGTCCGAGACGTTGGTGCCAGATGTCGTCGGGAGCGCGGTGACCGGGCGAGCGGTGGTAGATGTCGGCGTTGGAGAAGAACGCGACGACCGAGGCGGGACTTCGACAAGCTTCTCGTGTGGCGGGCATAAGTTGGTCTGCTTCGGTTGGCTGTCCTCGTGTCGCTGGTGGTGGTACTCGGCTGGGTCCTGCTGCCGATACTGCAGGTGATGGTTTTGTTGGGACACATGCGGGTACTTGTCTTTCTTGTCTGATAACTGCTAATGCTCGTGTTCTTTCTGCTGCAGGTATGGTGTTGGAGTGCCAGAAGCCGTCGCTGTCGAAGTCGGGATCAAGATCTGGCGGATGAGTCCAGGCGGCGAAGGATACGATACCGTCGCTGTCGGCAGTTCCGCGGTCGGGGACGAAGTCCAACACGAAGACACCGGACTTCAGGAGGGCACGACCGATGAAGAGACCGCCCTTCCCGTGGTAAAGTCGGAACTCGTTGGAGAAGGAGTCGCACTCCAGGTGAATCCCCTTAGCCATTAGTTGGCTTACGCTTAATAGGTTGTATCCCAGATTGTCGACGATGAGGACCATGTTGAGCTGAAGAATAACGTTTGTCTCCATTGATTGTAACTGAACCACGCCTTGTCTATTTGTTTTCAGGTTTTCGTTGTTGGCGACGGTGATGACGACGTCACGGTTGAGGCGTCGCTCGTGTTGTACGAAGCGTCCGGAGGAGCACATGTGCTGACCGCAGCAACTGTCCAAGAACCAGGTGTTCCGCCCGGTGGGTTCGGCGTTAGCGACTGCAGCGTATGTCGGGTTGACCTGAAGTCCTTGCGAGCGCGGCGGCGGGAATTCCTCTTCGTCTGGTGCGTAAGTGGGTGGTGAAGCGGGTGCGCAGTTGTCGATGTGTACCATGCAGTTGATGATGTTGGGTGTTTGTTGTGCAGATGTTGAAGAGCGCCTTGGAGGACTTGCTTGAGTGGAAGCGACTTGTGGGTCTGCTGCACGGTAAACGCGAGGGCGGTTGCAGTTGACCTTGGAGTGCCCGGAAGTCTGACAGTTGTGGCAGAACGGCGGCACGATGGTGAGTCCTCGGTTGTCACGTTGATCTTGCTTGCTGCGTCGGTTGTAGTTGTTGTCATTTCTTCTTTGAGTGTAGAAGACTAACTGCTGTTGCTTCCTTGGTTGTCTTTCCTCGAACAGATCCATCTCCTGTTGTTCAGCGTGAAGCTCGGCGCAGAGGTGCATCTCCGAAATTCTTCCGTGGGCTCGAAGAAGTGATCGTGTGGTTCTCCATTCTGGCCCGAGCCCGGCGAGGACAAGTGTCACGAAGCTTTCTTCAGTGATCGTTCCTCCGCACCGAAGCAGGCGGTCGCGGAGGGTCTGGCAGCGACTCATATACTGCATCGCCTTTTCCCCGGTCTTCATCTGTATTGTTGTCAGCTGTTGCATGAGTCTGCTTTGTGTCACGCTGTCGTTTGCTTGGTAAAGGCACTTGAGGTGGTGCCATGCGAGCTCCGCGGAGTTTCCATAACTCCGATAC